CAGGAAGGCTGTGGGGTAACCAGGTCTGCACAGAGCTTACCAGAGAGGGCCTGGGCCTGCAGCCCCTTATGCAGAGGCAGACTCCATCCCTGTAGCAGCCAGAAGGCTCCACACATTTCCAGCTGTCCCTGCCGATGCTGCCAGTGGTATTTTGCCCCGATTCTGCTTGAAGCGTGCGTGCGAGCCACTTCACCCTTCCATTGGTGAAAGGCAGGTCTCAGCCCAACCCAAGGGCACCCCTAGCTGTGCTTTGCACAGACCCACACAGATACAAGCTGCCCCAGTGTGCCCCACACTCCCTAGCTGGCCAGGCCCTGGGAGTGCACAGGGCTCTGACAGGGTGACTCCGAGGCCCTGTCCTGGCAGTCGCACTGTCAGTACCTCCTCCCCCCCCTCAAAACCCTGGAGGGTAGCCTGAGATGAAAACTCTCCTGGGAGTCAGTGAAGGTGGTGGGAGCAGTGGCAGTGCCTGTCCACGCAGCCTTAGCTCTGTACTGGGAGGGTCTTACTCTGGGGTGGGTGCAGGCACATGGCTCCCACCGCAGCCACCATGACAGGCTGGTCTCCCCCACAGGGATTGCCACGACAACCATCACAGACATGCAGGCGTACATGGACATGCTCAACCCTGAGATCCGGCCGGGTGCAGACAAGAAGTTGAGCGAGGCATCCCCACCCCCTCCCCCTCCTAGCTACCCCGCGCCGAGCCCCCCTGAGGCCCAGCACACGGCAGAGATCTACGTGCAGATGAAGAACAACCTGCGCCACGTGGAGAGTGAGGTGCTGAAGAAAGAGGTAACCCCCTGCACTGTGCTGTGCTGCACTGCACCCCAGGGTGGCATCCTAGCAAAGCCCCTGGAAGATGGCTTTCACTTCCCACTGTCTGGGCTCAGTGGCTGCACTACAGTAGGATCCAGGAAGGGTCTGGCTAGGGGCCTGGGGCTGGGGGCTCTCCCAGGATGCTCACTGCAATGCGATAAAGCTTGGAGCAGCAGTAATTGCTTCTCTGGGGATCCATCATTAATGGGGGTGGGAGGTGAATCCTGACCTGGGCCAGGGCCTTCTCAGTGTGCACAGGTGATGTTACACTCTCACTCTGCTCCAGGGGTGGGAGAGGTACCCTAGGAAGGCAGCACCCCAGTGAGCATGGGGACCATGGCTCTGTGGCTGTCATAGCCTGCCAGAGAGGACAATAGGTGCTCTGTGAAGCTCTTGGGTCTTCGCCACTTCTGGCCAGGGCTGCAGTTTGGAAACTGTGATGGCTGTATTTATAATTTGCTTAATTGGAGGGGGGTTGTCAGGCGGGGAGGGGCTGGTTTCAGCTCTGAGGGTGGCTAAGGCTCTGGCCTGCCCTCCTCCTTAGCAAATGCCCCAGCTGTTCCCAACCCCCAGCACAGCACCTCAGGCTGGCTGTAGCAGGGAAATACTTCTGCCTCGGTGCCTGCCTGTGTGGATGGACAGCCCTGCCAGTGTGAGAGGCCTAGGGAAGGGTTGGAACAGCAGGATAAGGGCTCAAACTATCTCCATGGCTTCTCTCTTCCTCATCTGCTATTGGGATGGAAACACTGGGGGTGAACACTAGTGAGAAGGAGAGGGAGAGGCAGGGCCAAAACTGGCGCTTTGCATCATGTGCATGCCTGTGGGCACAAGAAAGCAGCAAGGCTGGATTCAATCAGGAGCCTTGCTGCATGCCAAGTAGCGCGGGCAGTGCAAGCCTTTGGTTGGGCCTGGATTGTGTAGCACAGATAGCGTTGCAAGAAAATAAATACACGAGTGTCCCATTTCTCTGCAATGTGACCCCCGGGTGGCGCAGCAGACCTGGAGCCAGTGCAGCACCAGCTAGTACCTTCCCAATACCTCCAGCCTAGAGAGAGGAGGGGGTTTCCCTCTGAGCAAGACAGACTAGGCATAGCTAGCTGGAGCCTCCCACCACAGGTCTCATCTCTTGAACATGGGCAATGGTAGTAATGAGATGCAGGCAGCCCTGAGGGCAGGCTGAGAGCAATGCAGTGCACCATGTAGTGTAGTGCAGTGCAGTGTAGTGGGCCTGGAGAGCATCCCCCACAGCCAATGGGTCAAATGGATGTGCCACTCCCAGGAGAAAACTACCTAGCCCATGGAGTGAGCCCCGTGGCCAGCAGGCAGGGGAGTATCAGTTGGTTGGAAATGGATCCGCAGGAGGGAGGGTTACTAAAGCCAGGCCCTGCATAATCGCTACCTGCACAATGTCGGCGCTTGCCCAGATAATGATCCTGCCGCGGCAGGGTCATTAACAATTGAACATGCCTGTTTTCAGCACCGTGCAGAGGAAAGAGACACCAACAACTGAGCCGCCAACAGGGTGGTGAGAGCCCGCCAGGCCAGGCAGCAAACAAATCCCAAGAATACGATGGCAGCAGTGGAGGCTGTAATGCAATCTGCCTTGCACTGCCCCCGCTTCTCCCTCTAGGCCAGGGGGCACTGCTGCCTGGAGCACATAGCTGGCTAGGCTCTGCCCACCCCACGGCCCCTGTCCACCCTAGCCCCAGCATTGCTCAGGCAGCACTTTGCCATCCCTAGATACTTGGGCTGCAGCTCCTGGGCTCTGCTTGTCCCAAATACCAATATGCAAAACACATTTGCATGTTGGAGCTCCTGACAGAGACAGGGGTGGTGCTCACACCTCTGCATCCCATGTTCCCTGAAGTCTACTCCCTGCAGAGGCCTGGTGGCTACTTCTCCCACATAAAGAAGAGCCCTGTTACTATTAGACCTGCCCAAGGTACATACAAAATGTCTAGAAAGCCTTCCCATGTACAAACCATGGAGAACAAATGGCTGCTGTAGCCCTTGCCTCCCCAGTAGACTTGCTGGGTTTTTGCCCCACAGGCCTGAGGCTGTTACAGCCAGTCTTGCTTCTACATGTGCAGGCAGAGAGCACGGGCTGTTCAGGCCTGTGCATGATCCAAGGCCATCCCTAGAGACCATACCTTCAGGGCTTTGCTCAGCACAGTCTCCTCTGGATGCACATATCTCTGCCAAGGATCATTCTGGGAATAGTGGTGCTGCTGGCAAGCAGTCCACTCACCCTGGAGAGGGTGGCTGGAGAGCCAGCAGCTCTGTGGCATGTGGGCCATGGAGCCTTACTGGCTCATCTGGGCAAGAGGCCTGCCCAACTCAGCAATCCCACATGCTTTATCCATTCTGCCGTGGGTTGGGGTTTGTCTTGGGGGAGGGATGCTGTGCAGAGAGGTTTGGCCATCATGCATGGAGGGGGCAGAGGCGCTCAGAGCTTTGTTTGCATAGGCCAGGCAGGGGGCTGAGCCATGTTACTCTGCTAAGCCCCTTTCTAAGTCCCATTCTCTGATCAGTGGCTGCAGTGCTCCCTGGCACAGTCTCCTGCCTTGCCTGGGGTCAGCTCCATCCCAGCCTGTAGCTCACATACCAGCAGGTCCCACTGGGCTCAGTGGGGAGATTCTCCTGGTGTCTGGGAGCCTCCAGGGGCTTACGCTGCCAGTTCATGCAGGTGGGCAGGGACACTCCCAGCTCTCCACCCACTGATGTCCCAAATATGATGTTGACAGTACATGTCCAACCTAGCCAAGTGCCCTACCACTCCTGCCCTAAGCATCTGGATACCAGCTGGCTCTTGCCATCCCCATCAGCTAGTGCAGTCTAGTACTGGGTGCAAATAGAGGAAGCGTGTGTGCTGGGCTCCCGACTTCCAGTCTAGCCCATGGACACTGTCAGCCGATGAAGTGGGCCTAAGTGTTGGCAGAGCATCTGTAGGACCTGCTGTCCAGGGTACCAGGGATGTTTGGGCTGTCATCAGCATGGCACTGCCCTCACCATGCTGCTATCCACTCCCTAACACTGCATCCATTGCCCTGCTGGCTGCCTGAGCCAGGACTGAACCAGGCAATCAAGTGGTGTCTAACCCAGCTCCTTCTCTGGCTTAGCAGGGTCAGTACATGTATTATGTATTGGTCTGACTGACTTGGGGGCTTAGTGTGATGTGAGTCAGTGCACTCAGTCCTCCCCACTGCTGCCATTTGGATTTTCTCCAGGGTCTCTGACTCCCTCTGAAATTGCAGTGCCCAGGACAGTACCCAGCAGCAGCCTAGCCTGCACCAAGTACTACTGCAGTGCTTATGTCAGTGCAGCCCCTAAGCATGTGCACCCTTTTTGTGCAGTGTATGTCTAGCCTGTCTGTGGCGTCTTGTCCACCAGGACCTCCAGCATGCCTGCCAGGCAGTTCTCCCATCATCTGCATTTTTGCATTGGGTGTTGCTTCCACAGGTGCAGCACTTTGCACTTGTCTCTGCTCCATTCCTATCTTGTGCCCAGGTCCCTGGCTGTGTAAGATCCTTTAGAATTCTGCTCCTGCCCTCCAAAGTGCTTGCAGCTTCTCCCAGGCCTGTTGCCTGCACACTTGCTCCAGGAGCTCTCTGCTCCCACATCCAGGTCATTAGCAAGCATGTTAAACAGCACTGGGCCCTGCACAAACCCCATGTAACCCTGCTGGAGGCTTCTTACTATTCTGACATTGACCCATTGATAGTTACACTCTGCTTGAAATTATTCAGCCAGTTCTGTGCTCACCCACCACTAAGAGTGCCTAGCCCACATTCCTCTGGTTTGCTTATGGGTTAGTATGTGGGACTGGCTTATGAGCCTTACTCAAGTCCAGGTATATGATGCATACCGTATTTGTGTCCTCCACCAAACTGGTGCCCACTGCAAAGGGTGATACCTGTGCCCCTTCCCCAGGTGCAGGTGGTGCCATTTTGAGGGCAGGGGCCAGCTCTTGCACTGAGCTGAGCTTCCTGCTAATCAGCAAGTATATATCACAAACAGGGTTGTGGAACTGCCCCAGGGCCTCCCTGCCTTGTCAGCACTCTCCACCCAGCCTCCTCCCAGCCAGGCCTGAGTCTGGGGCCTGTCCATGACTCCTAGCCACAGATGGGCAAGAGAAAGGTGGTGGGCCAGTGATGCCCATGGCAGGGCTAATGTTTAGTTATGTCTTAGTGAGGAGAAATGGGAGCCTCTGCCCCAGGATTGGCTGATGCCTCTGGAGTGATGTCATGGCCAGGTGAGCTGATAGGTGTGGGTGCCTTGTTAGCAAGCAGCTGTAACTGGAGAGCCTGGCTCAGGTGTCAGCGCTGTGCTGAGGCCAGGTGTCGGGTGGCGCATCGCTCTCAGGCAGCAGGTGGAGCGGGTCTTAGCCAAGCCAGGCACAGGTAAGAGGGGCTTTGCTTTGTCCCCCAGCACATCCCCAGCCCTTGGCAGAGCATGGCCAGGGGAAGGGTCTGGTGGGTGCCAGGGCTTTGTGAAGTGTGTGGGGGGCAGTGAGTGCTGGGCCTGGATCCAGGTTCTGTGCTGTGTCATAAAGCCCTTTGCCCTGATATACCCAGCTGTGCCTGCCAGCAAGGGGCTGCAGCAGTGGTATAATTGCATGCAGGGGGACTGGCAGAATAGTGTGCTGGCATGTCTTGGGAAACAGTGGCCAGGCTAAGGGAAAGGTGTAACTATGTGGGTTGGGAAGCGGGAGATGTATCTGGCTGCGGTGAGCTCCAGTTAAGCGCCAAGCACAGCAGGGTCCGATGGGACTCCCATGACTTCTCCCCTTCTGCAGCCCAGCCCAAGTGCTTCAGTGCAGAAGTGGGTGAGGGCAGCGGGGGGTGGTCTGTAGGCAATGGGGACCTGAGGAACCTTCCCTGAAGCCCAGGGGCTGATCCACATGAGGCATAGTTCTGTCCCTCCATATGTCTGTGCCCTGCGGTCTCTCTGCCTGCCTTCCTGGCACCTGTGTTCCTCTCCTTTGAGTTCCTCCTGCATTTGCAGCCCCCTGTCCTGTGGAGCTGAGGGCTTCTCCATGCTTTCCTCACTCCATCCTCCTTTCCTTCCTGGGTCCCAACCCACTGTCGTCCCTGTGGGCACAGAGCCCTGCCTGTGCCTGAGCGCTCCTGCCCCAGGCAGAGGGGAGAAGGGAAGAGTGTGCGGCTGTTTACTAGTGCAGGCTGTGGTGCCAAGGCTTGCCAGTGCCTCGCATCCTCCCCGCATGGTCCCTGGAGCCCTGTTCTGCATTTCTATTGTTTGCATCATGCCCCTGGCCCCCAATGCAGGGTCCTGGCAAGGTAGCGCTGCCACAACTGCATCATGTTATCAGCACCCACTGCTGTCACTGCAGGGTTTTTGTGTCAGCATCTCGACTCCTGCCTGGGCAGGGGCTCTTGGAAATGGAGAGGGCCAGTCCCTCTAACCCAGTTGCCCAGCTGCGGGGACAACAGAGCTGGGGCTCATCTGGCACAGCACCCCCTGCTGCGTACAGCACATCACTGCAGCAGCAGGCAGAGAGTCAGCAGAGATCAGGGTTGGAGAGAGAACTCACTCCCAAGAGGTGTCAGACACTGGGGCCCTGCCAGTGTGGGATGCTGCTGGGTACCCTGCCCTGCCAAGAAACCAGCCTTGAAGCCAACAGAGTTCTCTGTGTCAGTGAAAGTACAGTTTGACTCTGCCTCTCAAGGCAGCCGCATGGGTAAAGGCAGCATGGAGGCAGCTACTGGTGCGGACAGGCCTGTTCCATGTTCCCACTGTAGAAGGTGCAGCCATGCAAAGTCACAGCCAATGCGAATGGCCTGGACTCCAGAACGAGGGCACATCTGAGCTGGGGCCAGGTTCTGATGCTAACAGAAAGAACATAGCAGGTCTCTCCAGTCCATCTGCGTGGGGCCTGCTGGCCCTGCTGTCAGGGAAGTTCACGCAGCAGCAGCTAGATATATTGCATCTCTGTCCCATCCCAGGCCAGGGGCCTGCAGAGGCAGGCCCAAGCCATGGAATTCCCTCCCTGTGCACAGCTTACTGCACGCTTCCCCATAGAGCCCTGGGGTTTGAGGGCAGGGTTCGCTTCCTATGGGCAAGGACTGGGCCACAGAGAGAGGAGGGCACGACCAGCTCACACAGGAGTCTGTGTGGTGCAGAGCTGGGACCCCAGTCTGCCAGATCACAGGTGGACACTGCACCTTGCAGGTCACATTGGAGCCAGCAGGCCTCCCAGCAATGCAAACTGGACTTTCAGGGCTGGAGACCAGTTCCCAACTGCAGGTGTTTGCTGTACCTCCCACTGCCATGTGAGCAGTGAGCAGGAGCCTGCCCAGGGTGAGCGGAGGGGCAGTCATGCCCTGTGGGGCTCCCGTGCCCCTTGCAGCTATCTCCTTGCTCCAGGCTCAGCAGGGCCTATGTGAGCAGCCCTTCTTCCATGGCCCCACATGAAAGGAGGGATGGCACCTGTCACTCGCTTTCTCACACCTGGCTCAGCACCTCTGAGGACTCCCCTTGCCTGTGGCACAGATGAGTGAGGCTCACCAGGGCCCCCGCACCACACCTGCCACATCCCACTCAGGCTGTTGGCTGTGTGATGTGCAAAACCAGTGATACACACACCCAGGTGATGGACCACTGCTACTGCTCTTGCCTGAAGGCTGGGCTGTTTAGCAACAGGACTGTTTACAGCCATGTTTGTGGGCATGTGAGATCCTTGTCAGGATGATTCAGGGTGCCATGTAATATTACTACTGTTAAGCATGCAAACAGCTACACATGATTTACTAGATAAACCCAGCAGTTTCCAATAGGAATCCATAGTGTCAGAACCTTCCTGCCCTGTTGTGGTCTTTCTGAGCTCTCTCCAAGAGATGACTTGCTCTATTATTTTTCTGTAATCAAGAAATGAATGAAAAGCTGAGAGCTGAGATTTTCTGAGGGGACACTTGAGGCTAATGCAGGAGAGGCTTGATTTAAAAAAGGTTGAGAACCCCTGGTCTGGCTGTCCAGTGTGTAGATGGGGCAGGAACCATCTCCCTTGCCCCCATGTATTTGCAGGGCCTGGCACCATGGGGCCCTGAGCTCAGCCTGGGCCTGTAACGCTCTGCCTTAACCAGCCCTGGCTTCTGCTGTTCACAGCTGACCTCCCGAGACAACAGCCCCGAAGGCCTGAGGCGAGTCGACTCCAGCAGGAGGTCAAGGAACTTCAGCAAGCAGCCCAGCACAGGAGACTACTACAAGCACCTGGGCAGCAGTGCGGGGGAGCCCCCCAGCACCCAGGCCATGGCGCACAGTGAAGAGGTCAGCACCAGTCCCAGCCCCAGCCCCTCAGACATGCAGACCCCAGATGTCCCCAGGCCTGGACAGCGCCTGCTGGGTCTGCAGTGAAGAGTGGGGAGCAGAGGGGATGCCAGCCATAGCTCATGGCTCAGCCTGCAAGTGAGCCTGAAGTGCAAGTGAGTCTGGAGAGGGGGCTAGGACATGGACTCCCACCATGGGGGCCTGTCTAGCCCCAGCCTCGACTGGCAGCAAGTGTTCAGCTGCTTGGGTAAGTGGGTGGGCAGGTCTCAGCCTCATCCCGCTGCTCAGCCGAAGTCAGATGCTTGGTGGGGAGCGGGCTGAGCGTGCCCCACAGCTCCGTCTCCAGCAGTGCACAGCCCCTTGCACTGACAGCAAAGCAAAGCCAAGCCACAGGACAGCCTGCCAACACTCTGAGGCCTAGCCATGAGAGGCCTCCCCAGCCCCAGCAAGGGGTATCCCCACTAGAGAGCTTCTCTAGAGCGCTGGCCCTACCTCACTGCCTTATTTTCATCTCTTTAAGGCCTCTCTGCTCTCCAACAACAACATGCACAATGGGAGCTCGGTGGAGAACAAGTCTGTGGGGGAGCTGCCTACCCCACCCCCACCCCCGCCGCTGCCAACGGAGACTCAGGTGCCTGCTGCCAGCCAGCGCCGTGCGTCCTCCTCCACGGGAAGTAAGTTGTGAGCTCTGGGACTCTGTTACATGCAGGGTGCCCAGGTGAGGGAGCAGGGCATTGCTAAGGGGTCTGGTAGAGCAAGCAGCCAGAACACACTCCGCAAGGCCTTACTAAGGGACACAGACCACCTGTGGGGTGGTCAGCTTGTCACAACCTTGTCCTCAGCCCAAAGCACCGCCAGACTGCAGGGGTGGTTCTTGACCCACAGGATAGTCCCCACTTTGTCCCAAAAGCTGCAGCTGCAGCCCAGAACAGCACTTAGCAGGCAGGAGGGCAGGGAGCCAGGGACATCCAGGGGCTGCCTGCTCTAATGAGGTGTTCCCAGGCAGCACCTGCATAGAGACCAAGCAGCTCTCCAGATGGCAGCCAGGAGCCAACAGGCTGAGGAGGAGGAAGGGGAGGGGCAGGGACTCTGTGGTTAGAGCCCTGGGCATTTGCCATGTACTCACACTGTTCCCTGACCTTTGCCTCCCTCGCGTGCAGGCCGGGCCAGGGAGTGTGCAAAGCTCAGCAAAGGAGTGTGGGTGGAACCCAAGTCAATCAACAGGGCCACCTCTCCCCTCCTTAGAGCCAGGTGCTGTTTGCCTGAGCCAAGCTCCCCCAGGCTACCCTTGGCTCCATAGCAGACCCCTCCATGCCACCAGTGAGGAGCTCCCTCTGCAGCACAACCCAGAGCTTGCCCCCTTCCCCACTCCCCAGAGCATCTGAGGTCTCTGCTCAGTCTTCTTGAGCAGGGCAGGAATGGAGCAGTGCAGTGTGGTGCAGACAACAACCCTTCTCCCCACCAGGCCCTGCTGGGCAGCTCAGTAGTTCTGACATCCTGTGCAACACAGCATGGTGTGTGCGCCCTTCTGCACCACCATTGCCAATGTGCTTGAATTCCATGTGCCCCTGGGCAGGGACATGTGCCACACCAGCCACAACAGTAATCCCGTGGGCCAGGTGAGCACTCACAGGCACCAGAGGAGCCAAAACTGGCCTAGTGAGGCTGCAGCAGAAGCTTGGACCTGGTCCCCTGTCCTGTAGCAGGAAGGGTAGATTTGCACCTGACAGACTAACCAAGGTAGATATCTATGTCTCCATGATTTTGTGTGTAGGGCATCGCATAGTGCCCCTGCAGGGATCAGCTCTTCAGGACCACATGGAGGACTGTTCTCACAGCCCAGCAAGGCCAGGCAGTCAGAGCCTACTGGGCTGAAGCAGCCCCCAGGAAGGCAGTGCCCCTGTCTAGCCCCTCTTAGGGGAACCACTGCCCTCCTTGTGCCCTTCACTGCTCACAGCAGCCACAGGCAAAGTGAACCCTCTCTCTGGCATCTCTGTGAAGCCTGCTTCTTCATTGGCAGACTGCTGGGCTGCAAAGTCTGGCCCTGTCTCAAGCATTCTTGGGTGGCTGGTCTGGGCTTGGCCTTGGCAGCCTGGACAAGGGCAGAGACCCAGGGAGAAGGGATGGCAGGTCCCCAAGGCTTTCAATGGCACTGTCCTGTGGGGGCCCCTATCCCAACCTAGCCAGTGCCCCTGCTCCTGGGCCTGGCAGGGCAGTGCCCATCCCTCCCCTTCCATTGAGAGCACCATAGGAAGTGAGTGCAGTGTAGTGCAATGAAGTAGAGCTTCTGCAAGGAGCATTCCCCAAGCTCCCCAGACTCTGCAGAGCTCCACCAGTGCAGAGGCAGCCCTGCCACCTTCCCATGCTCGACTTATGCTGTCAAGCTTTGCCAGCCCCAAGCAGCCCTTTTTTCAAACTGCTAGGGAAAACAGCCCAAGGGTCTGCAGCTGGCCCAGCCCTGGCCCTGCACTCAGCACCAGCACCTAGATCCCTTCCTTGGGCTAGAGGAATAGGTTAATTCTTCCCTTGCCGGTGAAGGTAGAAGACACACCTTTAGAGAGCCCCAGCACATGTCTTTCCCAAAGCCTCAGCTCCCCATATTGCATCTTCCTCAGCCTTTCTACACTAGGGGGGCGGGGGGTTGTAATGTTACAACCCTGTGTGTGTGTGGTGATCTTGTGCAGAAAGCTGGTCTGCCATGTGCCTGAGCTGGTTTGGGCAAACCTAGATCAAGAACCCCCCTTCACCCAGCCCAGGCAGGGGGTACAGCAGGGCTCTCAGGGCCTGGCACCATCCCACACTGTGGAAAGTCTCTCTCCCTTTGTGCTAAGCTGACTGCCTTGCTCAGAGGCAGGGCTGGGCCTGGGCTCACCCACCTTGTCCAGGGCCAGGCTTTTGGAAATGAAGGCACCTGGGGCACTGCCATGTGCAGCAGGCCGAGTGTTTGTGCCCATAGTTCACAGATCAGGGCATGAGGCACTCATACCTGGGGCTGGGTTGGGCTGGGCAGGGAAAGGCAGTTACCATGGAAGCTGCCCCCTGGCCCCTCCCTCAAGGTTTCAGGCTTGTGGGCCTTGATCACATGTGCTACAGCAGTACTGACACTGTGGGACTGAGCCCAACCCCCCAGGTCTCTTTTCTCAATGCAACACTGGGGCGGAGGCCAGCAGCCCCTGCTCACCCATGCCTAGGTGAAGGCAGGTTTAGCAGACGCCATGGCTGGGTGGTGAGCCCTGCCACACAGCGCTGGGTCTAGGGTGCATCTCCCCATGGCTGGTGCCCAGAACAGCCTCTCCTCTGCACTCACTGTCCATTTTGTTTCTCATCTGTTTTCTCGCCTTCGCTCCATCCCTCCTGGACTTCTCTGTCATTTTCTTCACGGCCTCGCTCTGCGGGATGTCACTCATGCCTTCTCATACCCACTTGCTCTCACTGCCGGCTCCATCTCTCCTGTCTTATGTTCTGGTGACTGCATGCCTCTGTGCCTAACCACACTGTGCTGCTTCTCTGCTCTCTGCCTCCTAGAAGGAAAATCTCTGAGACAAATGAAGAGTAAGTACTGTGGCTGGCTTGTGGGCAGAGGGGCTATGCCCTGCTCTGCCCTTTCTGATCTGCATGGTTTAATAGTGCTCAGTCCATTCCCCATCTCGCAAACCTCTCCCTGTCTGCCACAGGCACTGTAACTGGGGCAGGAAACACTTTAAGGATGGGGAAACCTGGAGGTGAGTCCCTGGGGCATTTAGGAACTGAAGGTGGTCTTACCAGCTGTCAGAAGGGAGGTCCCCAGAGCCCAGCTAACTTTCCCCACACCCAGCAACTGCTCACAGGGTGAAGCATGGCAAGGAGATGAGGCTGCACAGCCTGCAGTTTGCAGCCCCTACCCCAGTGCTCAGCATCCAGTGGTCAGGCCCAGGGCACAGCTCTTTGACTTCAAGTACAGGGCCTAACCTGTACAGGGAGCTCTGGTAGGAGTGTGTCCGGGCTACTAGTGAAGGTGCCATCCTCCCACTGAACCAGGCAGTTGGCATGCAGCAAGTGTGCTACAAGTGCCTCCTGCTGGCAAGGACCCAGTCCCCTTTCCACAGCCTAACAGCTGGCAGCCACTGAAGGCATGCTGGAGTGGATGATGCAGAGCAGGACAGCCTTTCCCTTGCTGCCTGCCCTCCTCTCTTTTGGCTTCCTATTCCAGTGTCCTCTGAATGCAGGGGCAACACAGAGGATGGGGGTCATGCACAGGGACTTGAGCCAAAGCGCCCCAGATTCAAGGGTAAGCTAGAGAGACTTGGAGGCTTCCGGCTGGTGGGGTTTGCTGCCCTGCAGCAACAGAGACCCCCTCCAAGCACCTGTTGGTGCCAGGGGAACAACAGTGCCTCCGCCCCTCTGTTCTCTTATCAAATATTGATGACAGCAGTGCACAACCTGCGGTGGCAGGGCAAACAGGCCCCAGCCATTCCCACATATGCATTATTTAGCCCAGTGGGAGGCTTCTCTGGGGGGCAGGGCTGGGGAGTTGCTGCTGTGTGGTGCCAGCTTTAGGCTGGTTTCTGTTGCCAGGAGTGCCAGAGTGGGGCTCAGCAGCTGTGTGCACCCTGCATGTGCTGCAGAGCAACTTCTTGGGTGGTGCCATGGGGGCTGAGAGAAACTTGCCATGCGTGCCCCCATTGCCAGTATGTGGCAGGAAGTGGCCCCTGCTGGTGACTGTGCCCCAGGCCTCTTGGGTGGTGAAGCTCATGCCTCCTTTGGTGGGGCAGAATTGGGCCCCTGTGCAGCCTGGTGTTGGGGTGGGGGGATACTGCAGAGACCTGAGCCAAGTCTCTGGAGACCTGGTCCTTCAGGTGTCTCCCTGCACCTGGTTTGTGGAGAGCGGAGGCGGGAGTCTGAGGAACTCAGTGCCACTTTGGGGGGCCGGCAATGCTAAACTGAACCACAAGAGCCATCTAAAAGTACCAAGGGTTAAAGGAAACAAAAGCCTCCTGAGCAAGAAGGAAAGGAAGCAAGAAACCTCATGAGCTCCTGAGCAGAGCCAGCTTGGCAGAGCTTACAAGCAACAGTGCCACGTGGCCTGTTTTGTGTACAAGAGTGACACATCAGCAGCAACCTGCTAGCCCTCGTGCACAAGCTAACCAGACCCTGGTGGGCATCAGGCCCCTCTTACATAGAGGGAAACTGAGGCAAGGGCACAGAGCTGTTGCCCCAAATGCAGACTCACTGTCCCAGCTCCAGTGGGAAGCTGGAGGACAGAACACTGGCTATTGCCACAGGACTGAGTGTGCCACGTGCTGTTGCCCCCGAGTCAGCCCAGCCAGTCAGAATGCCACAGCCATATGGCCGAGCTATCAGAAGGGCCCTGCCTCACAGAAGGGTAGTGTGTCTTGGAGGTGCAGATCCAGCCCTTTTATGCGAGAGTCCTGGTATGATGGCTGACTGAAGGCCGCCCCCATTCCCCCAGCTTCTCTGTACTGAGAGCATGGACAGCAAGGCCAATGCAAGCCAAGGAGGCTGTCTCAAAGAGGCCTGCTTGCCAACTGTGCCTTGCCATGGTACGAATGAGGTTAGAGTGTTCCTGAGAATGCTCCACACCATTACCTGCACCTGCTGGCCAAGAAGGGCCCCATGGGCCCCTTGCTCTTACTGCTTAGCAGGAGTATGCCATTGAGCTGCCAAGGCCATGCACCTGCAAACTGCACCCCCAGTAATGATAGCTGTGCTCCAGGGAAGCCCGCGTAGTCCTGCCCTGGGGTGGATCCCAGCTCAGTGTGACCAGCACAACTGGCAGTCTGGGACCAGATTGGTGGGGCTGGAGTGATCCCCTCTCAGCTCTGACCCTGGACTGAAAGGCTCAAACATTCAGGGGATTTGGATTCCAGTGTGAAGGGGCTGAGCTAAGCCCACTAAGCAGGCACCTGGCAGCAGTTACAGCAGCGGGGTTGGGGCAGATTAGAGACAAAGGCCACCATTGTGCTTTTGTCACCCAATAAAGAGTCCATAATGCTCACTGAGCACAGCACCTGCCTGCAGGGAGGGGCTCTCCAGGCACTCCACTCTCCCCTGAGGCAGCTCACAGGGAGGCAGTGGCCAAGCTCCTACTGACCTCTGGGACAGTGAGATGAGGGCAAATGGAGTCCTTGGGAGAACCACCCTCCACCTCGTGGGTCCTGTAGCAGAGGTGCAATCCATGCCTGGCTGGCACCATTGGCACCGTGGGAGCAGAGTCAAGCTCGCATCCCTGGAAGTGTGCTCCAGTCCCTTTCCCTGGGATTCGTCAGTGACCCTGGGCCACAGGGCAGTGCACCCGCAATCCCAGAATTGCCAGTGTCATTGCTATGGTGCCTGCAGCCCCTCTTGCCACCTGCTTGCTGGTTTGCATTGATGAGGGCGACTGTGACCACTCTTGTCAGGACACTGTTCCCGCTGCAAACTGCATGGCTCCAGGATGCACTACCCATGGCCTACACAGTAGCGCCTTTGTGTGTGCTCATACATCCGGCATTAGCAAGACATGTGAATCCTGTCAGGGCCTTGGCCACCAACAGCTCATTACTGCTGGCAGTTTGGCAGCTGTGCCTGGCTGATTAACACCAAGGCCAGGGGGATTTGGGGTCTCAGCTGATGCTTAATGACCTTTCCTTGTCCCAAGTGGGTCATTCGTCCCAACAGCCCTTTGTCCAGCAGCCCAATCCGCAGCAGAAGGGGAGAGCACTTCAAACCCACTTTCTGCATCAGCAGGGGAAGCACTTGGCCTCCCTGCAATCAAATGGGATGGTAGGACGTCCTGGCCACTCACTCCCATGGCCCAGCCTGTGTGCTGGGTGAAGGAGCTAGCACGCTCGCGTGGGGCTGCAGACAGGCAGAAGGTCTGGGGCTGCACAGCCCCCACCGCAGCAGATCGAGCACAGCAGGGCAAGTATGAGAACCAGGGTGGCAGCAGGTGCACTCAGCTCCTGCTGGGCGGTGGCGCATCCCCACGTGGTCGAGACCTGCTCTAACCAACCTGTAGGTCCCGCTTCATAACAGTGGCTTGTAGCCAAGCTAACTGGAATGCTGGCTGCGTTTGGGCATGCTCCCCTCCTGCCTTAACACCCCAGCTCCCATCTGTATCGGGGAACTGGTGGCATGCAGCATGGGGCTGCCCTCTCTCCAGCACAGGGGTTGGCGGGCTAAAGGACCAGGAAGGCCAGGGAGTTGGGCTTACCTGGCTGCCCTTGCTCTGACCCCACTGCCCGTCTGCTTATCCCTGCTTAATCTCACATGTGGCTTCCTCGGACAGGAGTGGTGAATCCCCACGTTGGCAGCAAAGGAGCAGGGCACTGAGCACTGCGGGCAGAGCAGGAGGCAGCAGGCACAGAGATGTGCTTGCTCTGACCTTGCCGGAAGGCAGCACCCTGGAACAGGAGCTACACTGGCTGGGCTGGCTTCCCACGTGACTGCGCTCTGCTTTACTCCCAGCCATGGTTGCTTGAGGTTTAATTTGGACTGGGAGTGAACAGGGAGGCTTGGCCTCAGCAGCATTGAGTAGAGGAGAGGTGCCTAGTGAGTCCATCCTTCAGTGGCCAGGGCAGCTGATCTGGGGAGCAGTCTATGTGTGCTGGTGAGATAGACTGGGACTGGGGGGTCTCTGCAGTGAGCTGTGGCCCACTGGAGTACTGGCACCTTCTTCCTCTCTGCATTTCTATTTCTAGGTGTAAGCAAGGCTTATTGGGGCATGAGCAGGGGTTTTGTGATACTGGGTCTGGTACCTGGCAGCTCAGGCCCTTGCAGCAGCTCCAGGCAGCTTGCTTCAGCTGTGGGTGTGGGAAGGTCAGTCTGGGCCCCCCCCACCTGGGCTGGCGCTTACACTGTGTGGGATGGGGGATTGCACAAGCCAGGGGCAGGGGAAGGGCCAGAAAAACCTGCCTGGGCTGGTGCAAGTTGGATTGCTGGGGTGGGATTGTCTCACAAGGCCTGAGACAGCTTCATTGATCCCTCCTGCTGTGCTAGACTCCACATGGGACAGTGCTGTGGGATTGCACAGTTGGTGTAGAGAATGGCAGCCAGGACTCTGGCTTGCCTGGGCCACCTGCTGCTCCCAAAGGGGGACTTGGTGGGTTAGTTGTGACCAGTAAAGTCCCACATAGTGGGGACCCCTGCAACCAAAGCACAGCCTCACTCCCTGCCTATGGCTGCAGGAGATATTGGTAGCATCATGAGGGCCAGGGAGTGGGAGCTGCTGATGGGGGCTCTTGCCCAGTATCTGGTCACTGCAGTCCATTTTGCTCCAAGCTGCAGCACCAGGCCCAGCTGTGGGCTGGAGTGGGGGGCCTGGGGTACAGTCCCTCTAGGGTCATTTTCTGTGTCTTCTCACCTACAACCATCTCCCACCTGCAGGTACCAAGTCGTTCAACATGATGTCCCCCACTGGTGACAACTCTGAGCTCCTGGCTGAGATCAAGGCAGGGAAGAGCCTCAAACCAACCCCACAGAGCAAAGGCTTCACCACAGTCTTCTCAGGCAGTGGCCAAGTGGGGGCCAATGTATGTCACGCTCACCAGTGTCTTTGTTGCTTTGAGGGGGACAGTTGGGCTTGGGGGGATTAGCTCTTAATTATGGATGGCAAATTGTATTGGCTGGCATTGTCACAGCAAGCTGGAATCCATTTTGCACTGTAAGCAGTAGCTAGCAGCCAGGGAGGGAGCTGTGAGGCTGGGAATTGGGGTGGGGTGGGGAGGCACTTCTCCCCTCAGGCAGCCATAGGTCTCATGTGCCCCTGTGGCATACGGAGCTCTGGAGGTTTGCATTTCTAGATCAATGGGGAAAAGCTGGCTCTGCCAGGGTCTTAATGTTCCCAGGGCAAGTGTGGGTACCAGCAGGACTCCTGCTGCTGCCAACACAAGCATGTCAGTAAGGGGAAACAGCCCAACGGAGGCTGCGGGGACCAGCCCACTGTCACCTAACCTCACTATCCTGCCCAGGCTCAGGCACTGCCCTGAGTGGGGAGCGGGGATAGGGATGGTGCCAGGGCAAGCATCTGTGCTCCAGCATCCTCAGAGATAGCCCTGGACACTGCTCCCAAAGCCCCATGGGGCTCCTGAGCCCCGCATGCCAAGCATGGATTAGAGAGCTCAGCCAGAGATGATGGGTGTCCCCTGTGTGGGCTGGCGTGCAGGGTGACCCTGTACTGCCCCCCACATGGAGGCACCTGCCCTTTGTAAAGCTCCCTGTCTTTTCTTCCCTTTCAGATGGAGATGCCAGCCTCCTCCCCATCTCCTGCTCAGACGCCAACCCCGCCAGCCACCCCAGATACCACTGTCGGCTCCGCAACCACTGGATCCCCCGAGCCAGTTGTCAATGGCACCATGGCACTCCCTGCCTCAGTTCAGAGCAACCAGGTGGACGTAGAGGCCCTGATCCCAACACATGATGAGCAGGGCCGGCCCATCCCCGAGTGGAAGCGGCAGGTGATGGTGCGCAAGCTGCAGATGAAGATTCAGGAGGAGGAGGAGCAGAAGCGGAAGGTATGAGGGTGGGTGCCATGCATGCCTGCCTGTGTGCCCTGCCTGTTCCACGTGGGGTGGTGGGCCTGTGACCGTGTTCCTCCTGTGCATGCAAAACACCCTGGCAGATACTGGAAACACCCTCAGGCTGGATCTGACAGGTGGGGGCAGCAGAAACCCTTCAGGTAGCCAGCAGAACCCGATGGGGTCAGGGGCCAGGCCACATTATCCCTCCCCGCTGGGCGAGTGCACTGTGGGAGATTCCATTTTCCTGCACAGCATCTTCAGGCTCCAGGGCTGGGCCACAGTGCCCTGGCTCACAGGCTTGTCTCAGGGGTTATAGCAACATGCAGGGAAAAGGACTGACTCAAATGAAAAGGGAGATTCAGGAGAAAGGCTTCAGCCCCTCCACCAACCCTGGCCTGATGCTGAGGGAGAGCAAAGCCCAGGATGACCCACTCAGTCCTGCACACACCCCAGCTTCCCCACCTGGTGGCCAGGGCTTAATGCTTCATGCTTTCAGAGACATGTCTGACCTCCTGGCTCTGTCAATACTCTGGCTCTGCACTGCCTTCAAGTAAGGCTGGGGGCAGGAGCTGTAATGCTTCTACTTAGGGCTCTTGGGAGAGGGTCTGAAGGTGGGAATGGATGGACTCCTTGGGACTAGAGCCAGGAAGTGGGGCTTTTTCCAGCCTGGAGCCCCTCCTTGGACTGCAAGCAGGCCATAGACTCTGGGACACTGGCCCTCCCTGCTGAGCTCCCAGCACAGCTGCCACTTATGCCCAGGTGGCTCCAGCAGGCACATGCCCAGCATGACTGCTGCTTGCCCAGCAAGTGCAGAGCAGCCCTGGCCATACTAATGAGGTCCCTGTCTGGTGTATGGACACCATACTTACAGATTAAACCTGTTTGCAACAAACCTCAGTGCCTTCCTAGCAGAAAGTGTAGCCCCAGTGATGGAGGTGTTTGCAGTGAAACCTGAGCATGCAAACCACCCAACAGAGCCAGAGCCAGAGCCAGCGCCAGAGCCTGGCTGAGCTGCTTGACTGGAGACCATGCCACATGCAGCAGCTGAGGCTGCCCTGGAGCAGGGCATACACTGACAGGTGGGTCCCTCTGGGACAGCAGGGAACAGTCTTCTCCAAGCTGCCCACAGGCTAGGCCAGGGAAGCACCAGAAACCAGACTGAAGGGAAGGACAGTGCAGGCTAGTGGACTCTCCAGGGCACAGCAGAGGCAGGAAGGCCCTGGCTGCTGGCAGCCCTGTAGAGACATGCTGCTTCTGCCTCCGCCTGTTGACACAGCTAATTTGCTGGAGCCAGATGCAGAGTATGGTGGGTAAATAGTGTTTGTAGAGTGCTGGCTTGGGCAGGGCTCCCAGGGTAGCGATAGAAAGACCAGATAGGGGGAGGCACTGCACACAGTTTTATTAGAGCCAACGCAGACACACAGGATGTTTCACAGCATCATCTCCTGTGTCCTCATTAACCTGGGGGTGCTCATGGACCAGGAAACAAGCACCAGCACAGGCCTGAGACCCAGCTGGGCCCTGAGGTCATGCAGGGGTGCCGGTTCCGCCTTACCATGGGGTTGGTTGGGGTGTTTTATGTGTGCGGTGGAGTTTTGCATGCCCTGCATGGTTCTACGTTCTTTGCATTGCTCTGGTCAGCTGCGAAATGCATTTAAACTGCAGTATTCCAGGCAGGCAGCAGGGAGTGGGGTGGCACTCTGCACCCAAGGGGACCAGCTCCCCCATGGGCTGCAGGGCAAATGTGGGTGCGGAGACAACAGCATAGCCAATGCTAGGCTTGGGAGCATAGCTGTCAGGATCTACTCCAATATCCCAACCTAGGGGCAGCTGAGAAACACAAGTCCCAGATTTCATGCCAAGATGATACTGCAGGTTTAAATGCCTTACATGGTCATTCAGTGGTGTAATGAGTGAACGGTTCCTGGAAATACCCCTGGCCGTCTCCTCCAGGCAGGGACTTGGGACAGCACCTCCTTAACAAAGTTCTCTCTCCTGCCGTGTGCGCGAGATGCAGACAGCGAGGTCTCTCCACCAGCTCCACTGACTCACTCCATTCGCTCTGTGCCGGCCGCCTTTGCCTCTGCTCTCCCGCCCTCCTTGCGGTCAGCGTTCCAGCCTGGCCATTGCCATTACACCACTAAGGACATGTAAAGTCGCGCACGTGTGCAGAGACAGGACAGTATGGAGCTAGCTCCTGAGGGAGACATTTTTCCCTCTGTTTTTTCCCCCCTGCCTTAGCTGGAGACCGGGAATTACTATCCGCAGGAGTGCTGGAGATACTCCCATGCCCATAATGGGATTCTGGGACCCTTTGGGCAGCTCATGACGGAGGAGGACATCCTACGTATTGAACGGCAGATTGAGAATCTCCAGGTGATGCACAAGGTTCAGAAGGTGGAGAGCGAGCTGGAACAGCTGGAGCACGAGCTGCAGCAGTTGCTGCCTGTCTCAGCTGCCCTGGTGAAGGAGCACTTCACAGTGAACCCCAAGCGCATGCAGGGCCATGCCGATGACCTCCCGGCCTGGTGTAGCAAGATCTCAACCCTGCTGAAGAGTATGGCCATCCTGCTGGCGACACTTGGGGGCAAGGAGGTCCAGTTGGGTGACCTTTTGACTCCTGACCTGCCAGAGCCAGCACCCTGTGCTGCCAGTGTCTCACCCGAGGGGGCACCAACAAACATTGGGCGGTCACAGTCCTTCAGCTCAACCCGGGAGGAGGTAGAGAGGGAGATCCTGCAGTGCGGCGTGTCAGTCAAGAACCTTAAGGCCAACTACGAGCTGTACACACAGTCCCTGGCACCCGACGACATGTGCAGCAGTGGCAGCAGGGTGTACAAAAGGAAACGGTCCCTACCTGTGGGCACTGTGCCTTATGGCTACAACCGCGAACCCATTCTGGAGGAAGACTATGTTACCAGCAGTGACCCCTTTGCCACTGTGAGTGAGGAGGTGGCCACCAATGGCACAGAGCCAGCCCTGGGACTGGCCTATGCTGAGGCAGAGCCCCCACTCCCCCAAGAGGTGGAGACACAAAAGGTGGCAACAGATCCCTTTGCAGAGGCTTTGTTTAGTCCTGACCACCTGACACGGAGCCTGCCAGTGCAGACGGAGCTGAGCTGCGTGCAGGACTACATTGACATGCGCAAGGAGCGTATTGTCTACCTCTTTCTGGAGCACTGGAGGAAGTGGACCTTCACCGAATCAGTACGGCAGGCCCGCCCCATACGGCAGGCAGCAGGGAAGCCACCCAGCGAGGATGACCGGCTCCTGTACTTCATGAAACAGCGACAGGTGGTGGGGAACCTGCTCTCACAGTGGCGGGACATCATCAGCCAGGTGCCCACACGGCAGATCCGGCGCCTGAGCCGCACCAACATGCTGTACTGGCCAGAGCACTTCCTGCCGCACGTAGGGGGTGCACCCGTGCATTATGACAGCCTCTCGCTGGACCTCTTCATGCTGGGCTACTTCCAGCTCCTCGAGATGAACCTGACACGGGAGGAGCGCAAGTTCCGGCACCTGCTTTGCTATGAGATGTTCGACCGGCTGGGCAGTCACAACTGGGAGCTCATCCGCAGCTTCCACAAGGCTGTGCTCGAGGAGATAGAGGCTGGCCGGCGTGACTGGCTTGATGGCTTTGAGGACCTCAAACAGGAGTTCTTTGGGGATAGCCTGGGACTCAGGGGCACAGCTACTGCCCTGTCACAGTCACCAGCTGCAGCTCCGCCAGCCCCGCCAGCCCCGCCAGCCCCACCACCCCATCAGGAATCTGCTAGGGTCCTGGCCAGTGACACCCCACAGCCAGCCCCAATCCCTATGGACCCAGGCCGAGCCCCACTACCCAAAACCCGGAAGAACTCCGTCCAACTGGTGTCTGAGCTGGGGGAGTTTAGCAGCGATGACATCTGTCGTTACATAGACCGTAGCTTCTCATTCTGGAAAGATAAGGAGGCAGAGATGTTTGACATCTGAATGCTCTTGCGGGCCCCTATGCATGCTGCAAGAGGCGCGCTCACCCCCAGCCCCAGCAACTAGTGGGCCCCAAGCACTGGCCATAGCCACTCCTCCACCACAGCCCCTGTGGAAGGGACACGCTGCCCATCAGCATGGAGGGCAGCACTGTTGGAGAAGCAGGGGACAACCCTGCATATAGGCAAGAGGGTCTGGGCTCTGTCAACTCTCTGAGATGACCTCTGCAGGCGGTGCAGAGAAACCATGACATGTGTCATGTCTGGGGTAAGAGCTGTAGAACAGAGACCTGCGAGGGCTCCAGTCCCCAGTTGCACCTCACTGGGAAGGTGTTGGCCATGCAGACAGGGGGCTCTGAGCAGAAGCAAGTCAGCACAGTACCAGAGGGACTCCTGTCCTCGTCTTCGTCATGCAGGAGCCTCAGACACTCAACAACTCCACTAAAGGCTGCAACCATTTTGCCTGGGTGAGAACTGCAGCCACCATCCCAGAGTCCTTGTGAGGCTGGAATCACACTGTTCCTCTGTCTAGACAACAGCCCCTCAAGGCACTGATGGGCACAGCTGTCTGAGGATTGTTGAGCATGCACCAGGCTCCAGGGGCATTCAGATATCAGCCTGCCTTCTCCTTTCCCGCACAAGCTGCGGAAGGCTGTGATCCCCTATGACTGTGGGAACCCCATTGTGTTTCCAGCATGCTCCATCCTGCAGATGCCACTGGGCTTCTGCTGCTGGGGAGGAGGTGCTGTGGAACCACGCAGCGCAGCAAGCATCTCCCAGCCATCCGCAGCCAGTGCAAGAGCACATCATAACCACGGCCTCATTAACCCAGTTTCCAGACCCAGCACAGGCTTGATTTTACTACTTGGTCTCCAGGCACTGGGTTCTGGTTCCAGTAGGCTACTCCAGACCTTCTCTTCCAGCCCTGTGGAAAATTCCCTTTTGCATTGTGTACTTCCCCACCACAGACCTGCTTGAACCTTTAACGATTGCAAAGTGTGTTGCGTGCTCTACCCGTACCTGTAGCAGAGACACAAGTCTGGCTCCTTGTACATAGGTTTGGGAATGAGGTGTGCTGTGCAGCAGGCTGTGTGTGCATGTGTCTTGCAACTTCTGTAAGGATTAGTGCTACTGTTAAATAATAAAGCGCTCTGCTCTGGGAAGGGAGCACATGTCTTTTGCTTTGGAGGGATGGGTCAGGGGGTTCAGTTTTACAGAAACCATACTGGGGGACACAGGGTGCAGTCACTGGGTTGTCTGTGGCTGCTGGGCAGGGGCAGGGGGCACTGCATACCCAAGCAAAAGGACAAGTCACTTTGTGATCAGCAGGACCTGATACTGTAGCTACAGCAGCAAAGGGAAAACTGGTCAAGACCTGCTGCCAAGCCAGCACTTCGGTGCAGGGTCAGCATGCTGCCTGCCACAGTGCACAGTCCCAACCACACAGCCTGGTTACTGCAGCAAGAAAACAGTAATCTAGAGATGAGAGGGAGGGAGTCACTGCTATATACAGAGTCTCCCTGCAGGCATCTCTCTGCCCTGGCAGTCCTGAGCATTCACAGGGGCATGGGCTCCCTAAGGGCCAGTGCCCTTGTGCTGTCCTGCAAGAGCCTGGTGTTGTGCTGAGAGCCTGACCTGTCCTTGCTAATGGGCAGCTGCAATGGCAGTCCTGAGGACAGTTCTCTCTACCAGCATGGATCAGTTGGGGCTTCCTTTCCAGCCCAGCAGCCTTGAGCATTGTTGGGGGGGCACACATTGTGCAAAGAGCTTGGAAGACAGCAAGGGCAATGCTGTGACAGAGCAAGCCCCAGCAGAAACACGGGCCCACTCCTATTCCCTGCTGCCTTTATGGGGATGTGCTTGGGTCTTGCCCAGCCTAGCAGTTTTTTGAATCCCTGGGAACATGTAGGGGGGAAGGGGGGAGGCATTCTCATGACATTTCCCACACCAGAGAGGACACAGGCAAGGTGGTCAGGCCATGATGGGCTGCAGGGGTTGGACAGTCTCTTGGGGGCCATTGCACCCTGTGGGAGCAGCACCCCCCTCAATTAGTAATTAACCAGAGTGGAGGGCAAGATACCAGCAGCTGTGCATGGCCCCAATCCCTGGTAAGGGACAGAGGACCCTGGCAGCAGGTGCTGCTCTAGGCAACCA